CAGTTACCGAAAAATGCTCTTAAAACTAGAGGTCACTTTAAGTAAATTTACATCAATTTTGATTGGCACACACTAGCCCTAATTTTAATTAATTCAGTTTTTTAGCACATTTTCATATACATTCAATACAAACAGCTACTTAAAGTCAAACACGCTTTATAATTTGAAAATCTAATGTTATTTACATTGAAAATTTTATGAATTTTATTTACTGTACAGTTTCCATATAATTTTATTATTATACTATATCTTAATTTCTCGTGAAATACAGACCTTAAAGTCAAACAAAATGGATTATTTTCACGTCATGGTACCGTTATATGGTCCAAGTTCTGTCGAAGGCGTTTGAAGACACGTATAGGTCGTCCATTAGACCATTAACTCTCAAAAAAGGGTTAAGTATGTATATTACTAATGTACCTACAATAATAAGACATTTATACACTACACATATACGAAACATTATATACAGGTAGATCATAAATTGATACGTCTTGCACGATTTTTATTTAATTTACGGCCATTTTCAAGAACCTCTCTCAGTAATACAAAGAGAATTTAGTCAAACTTTATTTTATGTAACTTGGCGCCCTAATTAAATAAGCGATCTCAATTTAGAAAAGGATTCAGATCAATGTTAAAATTTTATTCTACAATTTTTCTGTCTGAATGTTTGTCGCTGATGAGTTTTAGATTGAAATAAATTAGTAAATTATTCTTTTTTCACAGATTATTTAAATACTTGTCTGTGGTAGTCGACTACACTTATAAGATATTTCATATCATTGATTTGTTAAATATTTTATTGTGTTAAAATCCAATCAGCGATAAGTAAGATACGTCAACTAATATAACTTGAACTACACTAAAAAAAAATTTAATTGTGAAACTGATTGAAAGAGAGTAACCATGGAGTTTCTTGCTTGTTCTTTTTCATAGCAATCTACAATTTGGAACGTGAAAATAATTTCTCTAGAACGACAGACTAACACTTTCTTTATCTTCAAATCTTTGTTTGACGTTCAAAAATGCCTATTTCGGTCTAATTGGCAACTAATCATATGACAAAACGCCGCATTGGGGAATGAACGGATAATTTCAGTACTTCTGTCCTTAACAGCTAAATCTATAGACAAAACTGATCATCGAGACTAGCCGTAAGACATCAAAAACCACACAGTCATTATATACACAACAATTATAATTAAAATTATGTACCTATTTAATAGTATATAAAGAACTAGTGTGTGCTACAACGAAATTACATAGACTATGTACAGTTCAGATCAAAATACATTATAATATTTTTGTCAACATTTATCTACTTGTACATAAATCCAGCTTCATCCTTCGAGATAAACACTCCTTGACTATATATAGATATTTTGGGTTAAGTATACTTGTCTCTGTCACACTTAATAAGGTGACTGGTGATAATGTCAGATATTTAAATACGTGATTGATTAAATACTCATAACAAACAAATTTCCCAAAGAAACCTTTTTTCTACTCCTAACTCATTAGTTTTTTTTTATTACTATGACAATATTGCCGCTCCTCATGCATGAAATGTGGGTAACCTGGCAAGTACAAATCTGACTTTCTCCGAGTTATATACACTATCTATGAATATTTAGACACCACTGAAATACGGTGAAGGAAAACACGTGAGGATACCTGGACTTATTAGTTCTAATTATAAGTTTGAAATCGCCAATCCGCCTCGTGCAAGCGTGGTGATTTATGCTCAAACCTTCTCCGTGTTAGAAGAGGCCTTTGCTCAGCTGTGGAGACTTATAGGTTGATGTGTGTGTGTGTGTGTGTGTGTGCGTGTGTGCAAAATTCTAACGCGAGCCATGAACGGCGGGGGCGAAGTTTGTAATAAAAATAATTAATAGAAAAAAAGTTTCTTTGGGAAAGTTGTTTGTTATCATGAGTACAATAACGTGTGTAACTATCTGTCACTAATTACCAGTCAACATATATATTGTTTTATATGTTAGATAGGGATAAAAGATTTTTAGAACTGGAATAATGTTGAATGGTATTATTTTATTACAAAAATGATGATCGAATCTTACAATTGCGACAACGAAATTTGAGTTCTATTGCCTTGTCAATAAGGTATTAAACCTGAAGTATACAATGTTTCATAGTTATTGCAAACTTTATCGTGTACAGAATAGAATTCAAAATCGGTTGAGTCGACTATTATTACGGATTTCAGACATTCAGCATTATTACAGTGTAAAATACAATTTTAATTTATTAAAACACGTGTTTACTCTTTTACATTCAATCTTGATAAACTACATACCAATTGTTCCCTTAAACAGAGATCATATTTGTTTGTCAATAATACATTTTTCAATACACCTATGATTCAATTATCATCCTTACGCCTTTTGTTATAAAGTTGAGAGTTATCCCAACATTATTTAGCACTACATTTACGAAAATCGATCTTATTTCTTTTATCTTTATTTCCCCTTATAATAAAACAAAATTTATCTTTAGTCTAGGTTTAAACCATTGAGTCAGGTTAATGCATTTTGAATCTTATTTTCACCTATCTTCAATTTGAAATAGAAAAACTGGCTCTATTGTTTAGACGTAGAAAAACCTTGTTTTGTTGTAAGGCCGATTGGGTTCTATCATTGTACTATCGACGAAATAACTAGGCATATGGACAAATTTTTTAAGTTAAATAATATGATTTTTAAGCGCCATAAACTAGACTTGCAACCTATAAAGGCAGTACAATACCGCCAACGTATCTTGGCGATTCTGAATTTAGCCGATTAGCTGCGCAGTACACAATTTTGTTCCTAAAATATCCATTGCGCAGACAAAAAGCTAACTTCAGACTCGCCAAGATACGTCGGCCATGGTCTTGAGCCCTGATGTTACTTGGAACACATCAGACACCTTTGAAAACGTCATAAATTTAGTAAGTATTACGACATCATCCGAGTGTGTTTCGGCATTTCTTCTCAGAGTAGTCAGATTGCAAATGCTGGCTTCATCTAGTTTTTTAAAGTGACGTTTTATGTCATATTTGTTGCAAAAATAAGTTCATTGTTCCACTGACAATGATCATCATATAAAAACTAAATAACCGTGAATTACCTAGTTTTCTACTTTGCTTTCAAGTAGTTGAAAATTAGTTTTAAATTATTCTTATCTTTAGAGAGAGTACCATAAACATTTTTGTCCCATATTGAAGCTGTTAAGTCTTTTTAATAGACTAATATATGTCGTCGATAGTACATTCAAACATCCACAGATAACACACACAATTTACTCTTCACCTCATCCATAACTTTGTGTAAATTAGTACAAAAGACATCAAGAACATTTACTATCCTTCTAAAACCATTTCCAAATTACATCAAAGGCTTATAGAACAAAAACAAAATACCGATTATACAAACAAAAAAAAAACATGTAACATCGACAAAATGTTATGTTAATTCTAATTTTGTGACTCCAACTAACATAAAGTCAAAAACAATAAAAAAATAATTAAATACAATAAAAAGGTCCATGATTTAATCATTATAATTACTAAGTTTAAATGTCCAAGTTAATACGTATTAAAAAAAACAGGAATTATTAATGTAACTGTCTTATTTCCTTATACCACCAGTTAGGATAGTAAGCATAATTTTATATTGAAAATTTAACATTTTGAACGCCAAAGTTCTAGTTAGGGCATCGACAATGATCTAAGATTTATTTCGTGTGACCGTAAATATGACCACCGTTGCTCTTGTGGTAGGTATGATAATCGTTGACTTAAGGGAGACGATCTCCGGTCACAGTAAGCGCGGGTCTGACGGGGCCCTATAGGGCTGATGTTCAGCTGGGGTTGCGGGGTAAGCGCAATGAGTTACCCCGACCTGGGCCCAGAGCAAGAGAAGGAACGGTGGTGTTTTTCATCAGTAAGAGTCTGACACTCCCTCGCGCCTGACCCTGGGCGGGAGAAGCAAGTTGAGAGATTTTCCCCTCACCAAAAAAATGGCCAGTATTTATTTGACAGAGACGGACAGCAAAACTCGTTAATAAAAGCTAAAACTATTAAACTGCTGATCCTCAACCCATCTTCGAAGCGTGGTGATAATGGCAATCTTCATATTAGAAAATGTCCATAATCGAAAAGAGGATTCTTGGCAGTGTCGAATCAAATAGACTAAAACTTTTACAAATATATAAACACTATTAAAAGTATCAATTTGATTGTTAATTCCGTGTTACTTCGTCGATTTATTTGTAACAATGGCGTTCAAAAAACATTACACAAAAAATATATCAAATAAAATAAAAATTAAATAACAGATTTATGTGATCCTTATTATTTATATTGTTCACGACATTACTTTATTAGCTCGCTTTGGCTAAACATCGATTTTAAATCGATAGAAATTTAATTGATGACTTTACCAACTTGTACAGTTGTTACAATTATCTTAAATCTAAATGAGACCATATACAAATTGAATACGACTTTTTAATTCTAATATACATACTTAGCTACCTAGATAATCATTCTTTTGAAGTCAGAAAGTCTTTGAACCTCTTGATGCTGGGTATAGGTTTCTGCATTATAAACTTTACAATGAGAATTTACTAAGTGTTAAAAAACAGTCACATTATTTCAAAGGCTACATAGAAAAGTGTTTAGGGCGCTAGGTTTTGTTAGCACACTGTAGGGACTCTGGAATTGTCCCGGTGTCCCTTATAAGTTTTGATGGTGGCCACCGGGGAGGTTATAGTGAGGTTAAATTCTCACACTCACTATAGTCTTTTCCCCAAAATATAGGCGCGTTTAGAAGGTTTTCCCTCATTAGAGCTATCTCAGTAAAATTCTAAGGGCGCCTAGGACGCTAAGAAAATTAATCTGCCCTATAGTATTGATAAGTAGTATAATATGTTTAGTAAACTTGCATATATAGATGTGTAACTTATATCCCATTTTGTATTTTAACTTGTTCAGATAGAAGATGATAGAAAATACTCTTGTGTCTTGTTGAGATAGGTGTAATGGTATCAGATTAGTTAGTTGTACCTAAGTGAAGGGGTCAGATAGACAGAAGAAATATTCAGATATGCCTTTATGCAAGTACTAGACACATGTAGATCTTGGAATAAAATTCTGAGACTTATTAACTCAGGTTTGATCTTAAGTATGAAGTTCTTTTTCTTTTTACATTTCATATAATATGGTACCTACAAAATTGATTTGTTTTTTTGCAGAAACCTAAACACACAGCAAAGCATAGCATAGGAATTTAGTATTTATTGTAATAGATATAAGTTTAGAAATCAGTCGCACTATGATCATAAGAAGTAAAGAATACTTTTATCTAAGTTTATGACTTTAGATCTTGTTTGTCGAGTCGCCGCAATCGACCAACAATAATTAATCTTAATTTATTGATTATAAACTTGAAATTCGCTTGTCTTGTTGAGACGCGTATACAATGATATCTGTTGTAGGATTTTGTCACGATATTTAGATCTTTAAGATAATTATTTTCATAGGGGAATCTCCCGTATTTCGTCACAAGAAGCGCTACTTACATTTTAAGACGACTTGAGACCGACGCCCTCTCTCTTTTTAACGGGAAATGTCTTTTCAAATACTTGATACATATGCAACTATCGCGACAACATTGTATAAAAATCATAATAAATACATTTTACAAATACCTGCAAACATTATCCTTAAACACTAAACACCAAGACTGTCATTTTTAATAAAATTCTCAAGTCCACTTCAGCTGCACTTGCAGTTCTTTTTACACTTAAAATTATAGTTTAACTTAACTTGCTATACAGTGGTATAAGCATTGATTGCGAATAAAATATTTCCTCCATTAATTTTCGCTTATAAAAATAGCAACATATAACAATATCGCTTTAACAATCTGCAGCTAAGCATTTTATATTAAATTTGGTTTAAACTTTACAATCATCTAAGCATTGAAGCCGTTTATAACACGCTTAGCGTAACATACTTTTAAGTTTGTACTTTAATCAACCATTAGTTTACACCACTGCAAGCAAGTCGGTTCACTTCACTATCACTAAAGCGTCACTGTCGCGTCACCTCAAGTGTCAATTTTCACGTATTATGAGGATCTTTTTAAAGTCCCAGGATCATTCTGGCTCCGCAAACATAAATGAGAACTTTTCGTGGCTGGTGGGGGCGATGACGCGGGCCTCTATTAGGCATTGGACCACCCAGGTGGTCGAGACGAGGGGGATGTTGTCTTGGTTCGCCTTGTTTTGTACTTCGTGGGGACAGTCCCACTCCGTGACGAGGGCCAGGGCGCCGGACATGTTGAGGTCCTCCTCGTTGACGACGCGCGTGGTGGCCCCGGCCAGGGTGCACACTCGCTCCCAAAACTTGACGAATGTGTCCTGGTCTCCGCACAGGAGTATGATCTTGTCTTTGAAGAACGTCGCGTTGCGCTTGCCTGATGGCGGAACCTGGTGATGCAATCAGCGAATAAGTTATTTGACACAAAAAAACTGAAAATGTAAAGTATTATCACATTTCAACAATATCAAAAGACGTGTAGGCTGCGCGACATCACCGAGTCCGCGCACGCTGCTCATGAGGAAGAACCCCTCTGTGGTTCGAAACTAGTAGAGCTTTTCTCAATATTTACACGTGAGTAGCCCGCTATTTTTAGTTAATTTAGTATGTCTCCCGATAGGTATTATAAAAGCATACCAATAGACGCTATATCGCTCAATAAATATACAGTCAGGCGGCAAAAGAGGACCTTATAACACGATAAAACGACAAATTAACTAAAAAATCATAATTATAACAAGTAAGAGGCGAAAATTTGTATAGCAACACCAGCAGGTATCAGCTAGTGTTTTGAACGACACGACACGTGTATCGTGTATCTCTCTCTACCCATAATAAATATATGAAAACCATACGCTTCAAGCGCGACACGGTAATCTATTTCCCACCTATACACTTCCCAAGTAGCATTCGGGGTTCTATATAAGATGTCTAGTCGTTCACATGTACTCTAGAAGCTGTGTATGTCAGCTGTATATGAGCTGTATAGCTTGCTATAATGCTTTTATTGAACCAGTTTGGGCACAAATTATACAGCCTTAAGTTCACTATGGCTGTACATTAGAAGTATAATAGCATTATAATAGCAGTTTAAGTAGTAACATCGGACTTAAGGCTGACTTACGGCACTATATGGAACGCAGTGTGAACCATACAACGTCCATGAGTGTAATAAAGAGTAATAAGTGGCTAAATACACAGCCTTCACAGTTAAAATCGGACAAAAGTACTCCAGTAAGCTACCTTAAATTCACTTGTGTCCTAAATTATTTCCACAATATATTAGTTTGACAATTGTACGGAGTGCACGGATTCGGGGCAAACTAACTCCGGCGGATTATTACTATAATATAACACGCGGTCAAAGTACCTGTTTTATATACTATATCACGTTAATGCCATGGGAATGCAACTTTATCGTGAAATGTATACATATTGACAACTAAAATTTTCACGCGCCTCTGTAAAAACGCTTTATTCATTTTGAAATATTTAAAACTGGCTGAGAGGAAAATTTTCATTTTCAGTTTTTGATATTTTATTGGCATTATAATTATACTACGGTAATTAATTTTAACATGCAACCAAAACTCATTCGCTCTATCTGCGTATTTTGTGATAAATCTGCATTAATCTTGTAGATTTATTTGGTAAATATTTTAGGTTACGTAGAACAAAATGGTGGAAATGAAATACGGCTATGTGAACTGTTATAACTCCTATTTAATGCGGTGAGCGTATATTAGGTTCACATGTGTTCTGTTAGAATGCTGTTATCTATATGAAGTCCCACATTTGTACTACTACAGCGCCAATGTCAATTAATTTATTCTAATGTGAACTTATGTACAGCTTTAAGATGTAGTTCAGGACAATTGTGTATCTTTAATTCTTTCTTCAAATACTAAAATTTTAAAAATCCGCAATAAAAAATATTAATGTCCGTTAAATGCCCAGTTACTAATAGTCAAGTATGAATACCTAAAGTATAAATTTTAACAACCTCCAATAATAAAAGGCCGAATCCTGGGACTTTCAAAAATGTTACCTAATATAGGCCAAAATTCATTTGTGGAACTTTTAAAAATAGGCAAACCATCCACATTTGTGTTAATTGAAATCATATCTGGAATATCCATCCAATTTAGCAAAATGCTCTTCAAGGTTTTGCTATCCCATTGTGCCAGTATTGACCTCCTCCTAAATTTTTTAAAATGACATTAACGGGAGTGCATATTAATGTTCTAGCATCAGACGGTAGTGTTCCTGGTTTAAATTCGTTTATTATATCTGACAATTTATTCAAAGCAGAATGAGGAATACGATTTTCAATAGCCCATGTTCTTATTTTTTTGCGAAAGGTTAAATAATTATCCAAATCAAAATTGTATTCACTATCACTAGAACTGCAATCACTATACTCTGATATCTGTATATTTTGAAGGGAACTTTCAGCTTCAGGCATAATATTTTCTTTCTAAATGACCACAAGTGTTCTATTAAAATGCTAGCTCTATAACATCGAACAAGTAGGCCGTTAAACAGCGGTTGCCATATCTCTACCCTCCTATAATGCTCTTAGTCAGAAAGCTGACTAAAGGATAGTTGTTAGAGTATTATAACACCCATATTCGTATAAAAGTATTACTCTACACTCTTATAAGTCCCTTAGACAGGCATAGGTGTAATTAATTGCAATAATGCAGCTAATACATCACGAGTGAACTGTAGTAATGCTTTAAGTTCACCTTGGAACTAAATGTGTACTCTTAAATGGAACAAAATGCTACTTGGGTTATCTTCCCCGGCGATTTCACCCGCATTTTTTTCATACGGTCCAATCACTAATTTAAAGTTATAAAAACTACATACCCAGTTAATAAACCTCTGTTTCAGGATAGACCAGCCGGCTGGCAGTGCGAAGGAGTCGATGTCATGTAGCGAGTTTTCGATACAGCTCATGATGACCCAGCCGTGGGACACGGAACGAATGTCCGCAGCCAGGCACTGAATGTACTTGGCAGTCAGACATGGCCGCGGGGCGATCAGCTTGCAAACTTGGTACTTGTTCTTTGGCACGTCATCGAAGTGGCTGGATAGAGGAGAAAGTTTCACTTAAAATATTTTCTATGGTTTTACATTAAGGAATTGACCATGTCAACACAACAAGTGTGGGAGAGTTAAGCTTCGGCGATTAATGGGTCGGCTTGACCGGAGTGATTCCACGGCCTCACAGAAAACCGGCGTGAAACAAACACAGCGTTGTGTTTCGCCGTGTGAATGAGGTTACCGGAAGCCCAATACCTGCCCCTTTTCCCATTCCTTCCTAATCCTGAAATATCCGAAACCTTTATCCCCAAAAGGCAGGCAACGCACTCGTTACCTTCCGGCGATGCGGGTGTCCATGGGCGACGCTGATTGCTTACAATCAGTTAAGCCGTCTGCCCGTTTGCCGACGTATACCATAATAAAAATTCAAAGAAGTGCAAGTAGCTGTTGATTCAGACGATTGCTGCTGAACATCAACCTTTCTAAATCTGGGTACAAGAATAAAATAAGACTAGTAAATAAGTATAAAATTTGAAATTTTATACAATGCTACATACATACATACATAACAATCATAGTACATTTGGGGCGAGAGGGAATATTAGATTCGTATTATTTTTTCTTTTTTTTTAAACGTTGCCCCACATTAGTATTTTCTCCTGTGTCGTGGGTACTGTTACAAACATACATTTTCACATACACAAGACACCCAGACCCGGAACAACAATTTGTGGATCCACAAAGAGTTGTTCCGTGCGGGAATCGAACCCGCGACACGTTGCACGGCAGCCAGTTGCCCAGCCACCGCACCAACCGTGCAGTCAAACACGATCAATGACAAAAAAACATCCTGTCAACTCTTTCTGTTCTATATCATACATTCTGAGTTCTCCAACAATTTAATATTTACCTGTACACAGTCCCACCGCCTGCCTCCAGCTGTTCCTTCAAGCGCTCCTTGTTGAAGGGGCGGTCGCAGAACTCCAGGTCTTCTGTATCAGTGCCCGCCACTGAGGAGGTGGTCTCACCGTCTTCTTCTGACGAGTAGTGGCGGGTTTCTGCGCTTTGAGTGGCCTGGAAAATGATAGCATTTTAGTGATTTGCTCAATTTAATGAGTTCTGAGTTAGAATGGGTGGTTTAAGTAGATGTTTGGAGATTAGCATTATGCTTTTATAATAGAAAACAGAACAAACTAATAAACGAGGGTATTTCAAAATTGAACCTTATTATTGAAACATATTTTGTTAGATTCAAATATCTTCTTTTTTGAGTTAGGCTTCTTTTCTATTCAGGATACGATTTTCAAAAACCTGTTGTAACATTTCTCTGTATCACCCTTGCAGTTGACTGGTAGAGAATGTCATTAGGCATTAATTCCGCCTTTGTATGTACTACATAAAGTGCTAGATAAATAAAAACAGTAAGCCAAAAATTCGTCTTTTAAATTTGATTCAAAGTGATTCTGTTGAAAATTCTGTTGCGTACATTTTTTGTAGCTTGTAACATTACTGAAATACAAAAAATAATTCCATTCCCTCGTTTTTAACTAGTTTGGGAGTTCAATAGTCTTTTAAGCCAAACTGTAGTAGGCTAAGTTTTTAATAGTTTTAAAAAACGTTATTATAATATTGCTATTATACGCAAAACAATAATTGTTAAGTACTATAATAACAATTTCATCACTAGACAGATTTCACTTCGAAAACACTTAGTAATTTCAGAAAGAAAGAACGAAAAATTTCTTTATTTCTTTCTATTTTACAAAATAAATAATTATAATAATTACTTATAGTAACTACTTTATTTACCTTCTCAGTACGGGTCCGTCTAGGAGTCTCAGTACAAGTCAACAAGAAATGTAAACCGGAGAACAGCTTATTATCAGGTCCTGGTATGGGACCCATTTTGGAAACAGTGTCTTCATCGTTCTCAAACTTAGTCAGTTTGGAATTCTTCTTGCCTATGTTCTGTTTCGAGGCCCCTTTCAGTTGGAGTGGACCGGCTGCGGAGAGTGAGACACCTGGTGATTATTTTTAATACATATACGGGTTTCATTTACAAACATATTGTTATAGTAAAAAGATCCTGATCTTTATATTCTTAGCTTTGTTATGGAAGGGTTTTTTGTCAGAAGAAAATCATCAAATGACTTCTCCCGCCCAGGGTGAGGCGAGAGAGTGTCAGACTCTTACTGACTAAAAACTTCCCCGGTTCCTTCTCCTGCTCTGGACCGAGGCCGCGGTGCCTCATTGCGCGTACCCCGTAACTTAGGCTGTTATGGAAGGGTTATGTAGGCAATAGTCAATTTAATACATTCTTAAGGCGGAGAAGGCATTTTTTATGGTTTTGGCAAATAAACAGACAGGCTACCTGATGGTAAGAGGATGATGGTACAAGTGTTAGCATAATCACTAAACGAATTTTATAATATTATGTTACATTCCATCAATGAGGTTTTCAGTGTCTACACGAACTTGTAAATAACGTGGCTTTCGTTCCTCAGAGACCACAATCGGTTTTCGGACTCGATTTTATTACAAAAATCTATGTAATGTATGTTACAGATCCTAACTCAACATATTATTATGAGTTTTACTTTCAACAGACTTTGAAAGTCAAAATGACTGTCATTTTATCCTTATAATATAGTAAACGGGAAAGTTTGTAACTACGAATGAATGAATGAATGAAATATTAAACTACTGAATAGATTTTGATAGAATATTGGCACAGAGGTACGGAATAAGACATGTACAACTTTAAAAGCCGGTGGCAAAAAATACTGTTAATACAGCTGATTTTGACTGATAGAGACTGTCATTTATTGACGAGGGATAAGATATTTTTTTGTATGATTTAGGTATTTATTTTTCACAACACAAAATAAATAGAATATAGTTCTGTGTAGGTTAAACCTATACTAAAGACCACCGTTGCAGTTGCAGGGTGCAACACATTCCCTTATTTACAAGTAAATTTATACTAACACAATTTTTAAACCCTTTTCGGGTCTGCAAGACACTTTAAAATTCACATGCATTTATGTTCATGATTAAGTAAATACAAAGTAAATAATATTATCAGTGAAATCTCACCTTTGACCCCGTCAATCTTTCTAGGAGTCCGCTGCACCTCTGGTTCGACTCCAGCGACCTCTTCAAGGCGGACGGGAGGGGCTGAGTTACTGCTCTCACTCATTTCACTACTCTCACTCGCCAACCGTTTGCGACCCACTGGAGTACTCTTTGTTTTCACACCTGGAGGTAAAATACAAAGGTCTGTGAATTCAAAGGGCCATAGCTATGGTCTTTTGGTATACAATAACGGTTAAAGTTGGGCGAGTCTTGTTATATACGACACATTTGTCGAAGAACCGATGACATTTGGAGTAGACGTGTTCTAGAGTGAACATCGAGCTCAGTGGCGTGCAATTGGGGAGGTCTATGTCCAGCAGTGGACGAAATCAAGCTGATGATGTAAAACAATGTATGAAAATTAAATATCAATTTCGTCAGTCGAGTAACAAAAGAAAAGAAAAAATAAATAGTAGACGCGATTTTTTTTTATTTTGTCGTTTGAAATCAATACTTGGTAAAACGAGTTGTACATTAGGAATGCCCGGTTCCTATATTTAACGAATCGTCGTGGTATACGAACTGCTATGCGTTTTTCGAGTACCGACTACGAATCGTAAATACTGTTCCACAATTATTATTTTTTACTTGCTTTTGACGAACGTCCAATGGTCATTGATATGCCGAGCCTAAGTCGAACGCTGAATAAAAAATGTGCTAATTCATGACGTCACACGATATTTGAAATCAATGCGTGTCTGACAAAATTATTGTTTATATTATTCCCAATTGGAATTCCGTGGAATCATAGCATGATTAGAAAACAAAGGACAGAAAAAAAAATTAATGCTCTATTACATTTATTGTATACTCAGATTCTCAGACGTTACGATATTGCGAAGATCAATTAGCTGACCTTTTAATAAAAGAAAAATCAATTGCCACTTGTACGAGCATGCAGAATAAACGACGTTTGGATTACCTAATTGTCATGATTTTTATTTTATTACGTTCATTTGTTTTTTAATACTAACATTCCCTTTACGATTTTCACAATTGGGTACTTTCCTAGGTCAAAAATAAATTAATTCAACGTTTCAATACAATAAAATATTGAAAAATAACTATTCTTTTATTCATCGATCGATCGATACACTAAGTTTTAGATTTTTTAGCTAATTATTTAGAAATAAGTAAGCTATTTGACACAAAAATGTTATGACGTCATAACTCAGTTCTTCATACAAATTTCATAGAAAAGTATCATTTTTTGGATAAAAGTATTGAATTTTACTAGTTGGAAACTACGGTATTATATCTCGGATGCCGTTTACCTACGTGGACTCTCTAGACGAGTCCACGGCGCTGGAATATTTACGTGGACTTTCCGGGCGAATTGGTGGCACTGAATGTGTTAAGTGCTTTACTATTGCCCTATACTGTTAGGAAGTATTTAGCGGATAACAATTCAGAAAGGGGACGTATAGCGGATATGGTTTATGAACGTCTCTTCAGCCCCTGGTCGTAAGCGGTCCAATAAGGGCAATTCGCCAGTGCGAAAAAAATTATAAAAGACGCGACGTGTGGCGTAATGTTTTTGGCAACTTTTTGGGAGTTACAAATGTTATGGCGGAATTTATGGTTTTGTGCGTGTATCTCTTGTAATTGTTTGTAGTTTTACTAAAGTTTATGCCGCGTAACTTGACTTTGCACTGTAACCGACCCACCCCGTTACACGACTACAAACGTTTGTTTCTGAACACAGACACGACAGGCCACAACACACTTTTCAGATCAGATTCCTTTTAACAGTTTTAACAGGAACTGAGTAATGTTGTTAAAACTCTTAAAAAAATATCCATCCATATCCATATACATGCCAGTTATAACAGTATAGTTTCTAAGACTTCTATACTATATAGCACGGCCAATACGCTAGAAAAACACATTGATTTTAAATCTATTAATTCGCCAAACCCCAAGCACCTATTGTTATTATATTGTGTCTCGAATTACCACGATTGTAGATTGAATTTTATCTTTGCATTGAAAGGTTGTATTACAATATCTGATAAAGTACGATTCTATTAAAATATTTACTTATTCCAGTTTATCAACCACTTGTGTAATATTTATTTATCGATTGTAATCAGGTTGTCATTGCAAAATTATCGGTGAATAAATAGCAGATAATATTATGACATACTGAAACTTATAATCTTGAGGTAGCACAGCTATATGACTCAGCCAGGGTTCGATAGAATTGAATTACAGTGGCCCAGCACGAATTAGAAGAAGGAAAGAAAGAATGAGATAGAAAGAAAAATATTTTTTTTCACGCTAAAAAACAAGTATCAAGTACGTACAGATAATGAAGACATTCTGTTTGGAAATATTAATGGAACCCTCTCCGTGTAACAAACACGGAGTATGTATGTATGGTTGGTTTTTAGTCAGTAATTGTTGTTATCATTGTCATTTTTGCGATCTCTTTACAATAAAAGGCTTTTACGTGTCATTTAAAAAATAAATAACACCATAGTAGTGCTGGTTCAAATACTAATTATAATTTCAGGATTTTCTCCTGTTTCGTTCACACCCAGACCGAGAACAATAATTTGTGGATCACACAGTTGTTCCGTGCAGGAATCGAACCCAGGACACGTTGCGCGGCAGCACCGCGCCCACCATGCATTCAATTTTACTATGGTGCCAAATAAATGTATTTTCTTTCTTTATCCCTTGAAAGTTATTCTTAAGTAAGTAACATTAATATATTCGTCATACTAACCTGAAATACCCGAAGTGGAGGCTTTAGGGCTCTTGGGAGAGGCCACTCGTTTCCGCGCGCTTGAATTACCCTTGTCGCGGCTTCGAGCGCTGCGAGGTCCCTGGGGAAATAATAATAATAATAAGATTTTTAAAAGCTTAATGAAGTTAAACATCCCTAGTTACATAAAGATTTAAATAACTAGGGATGGCAAATTGAATTGATGTCTAGCAAGCTTTATGGATGAAACACCAATAATGTATCAAAGCCCCGGCCTGAAACAAGAAAAGGAACGGGGTAGGTTATAGTCAGTAATAGTCTGATGTATGACCTAAGGATTGAGGGTGGGAGTGAAGGATGGCATCCGGTAACCTCACTCACACTGCGAAACACAACGTAAATGATGCTTCAAACCGGTTTTCTGTGAGGGGAAAATCATCAAATGACTTCTCCCGCCCAGGGTGTCAGACTCTTACTGACTAAAAACACTCCCATTCCTTATCCTTATTGCATTAGCCCTGCAAGGTTTTATGTGAGGCTGCATTATTGCTCCAGTCGAGCCGACCCATTCGTGCCGAAGCAGGGCTCTCCCTTACTTATATTATACTAGCTTCCGCCCGTGGCTTCGACCGCATGATATGTTGATAAAAAGTAGCCTGTGTCCTATTCCGGAATATTCTATGCCTGTGCCAAATTTCATCCAGATCCGTCCAGTAGTTTTGGCTTGATTGCATCCAAACATCGTAACTTTCGCATTTATAATATGTATTATAATGATGATCTTTTTCCCTCAAAGAAAAATAATGAAGGTACCTGTATGATATTATCAAGGTCTAGCTCTCGATGGTGTCTGCGCCTCGGTGTAGAAGGGGCGGACGGCTCTCGAGTTCGCGCCGCCTCCTTCAAGGAGCGCGCCTGATCTTCCGTCAGGTACAGCTCGCTCGCTGTCACTAATACCACCGTGTCTCTGCAATATGGGTATCATGTCAGTAAAGGATCATGAAGCAAGAACGAGGTTTGTGTTGCTTTGAGTAAAAATTATGAAGTGTTTTTCATTCATATTTAAGAACAATCCTTTCTTTTTTGTAATAAAGTAGACACACTAGTATTTTCTCCAATGTCGTGGATGCGTTTATTATTATACAATTCCAGACAACCGATTCCCACTATTCCTTTACCCGGAACAACATTTTGTGAATCACACAAAAGTATTGTTTCTTGCGGGAATCTAAATTATACCGTGACACGTTGCCCAGCCAGCACTAAACGTGTAGGTAGTCAATTTTGTTTTGTAGGACTAATATAATTGGTTGCGTGTGTAAAAAAAAGTAATTTATTACACAAAGATATACCTGATATAGCAAAATCAAAATAGTAATTCATCTCTAAATAAAGTCAGTACTGCAAAAAAACGTGAATATATAACGACTTCATAATGAAACTAGTATTAAAAAACCCAAGAAATACTCACCCATCAGTAGTACATTTATAGGTGACTGTTCCACTGTCATTTTCCTCAACTCCCAGCACTAGGCCAGGCTCGTAATTCTGTTCCTCATCAACCATAGCGTAAACGGACTGACCCTCCAAAGGCAACGCCTTCATATCTCCAAATATTATAAAGTCATCCAACAACACCTTAGTCTGGCCATCATCAAACCTGATCAAATACTTATTTGGCTCCGTAATCTCCAACACTTTACCCGAATAGTAGCGTTTGTCCACCCATTTGGCTAATACTACAGTGTCTGGTGCATATCCAGGGTATTCTTGCTTCACCACCGCTTTTTCTACCGGCGTAGCCGGTCGCGGAGACGTAGGACGACCCTTCTTCTTCAATTTACTCACAGATTTTGGCGTAGCCACCAATGAAGACAATGGTTTCTCATCTTTTGGAGACTTCACTGGAGAATCCTTCCCATTTTCACCATTAGTCGGCACCATTTCTGGAGAATTCATACCATGCATGTACTCCGGTTCCTCTGGTTGAGTTGGCAGTAACGCTCGCTTAGTCTTGCCCGCAATAGGCCGTCGTCCTCGAACCCGAGTCTTTTTCAAAGAGCTTTTTGGAGTCGCCTTATCACATTTATTCACTTCTTCCGGACTTGCGTTACCATTACTCATGGAACTGTCGTTAGACACAGATGTTTGAATACCCACAGAAACTTTATCATCACTCAGGCCCTCGTCTACGGAATTCTCTCGGATATGCGAGAAGATGTCGTGTAGTTTCTTCATTAAGGCTTCATATCCCTTGACAGACGTTGTAGGGTTCGCGATGGATTTGCGAGGCGGTTGCGGTACGACAAAAGCACCATCACTGGTTCGGTTGCTTGACGTCGATGTCGAACTGACTGTAGACGCGAAAGATGTTCTATTCGGCAAATTGATCATGCCGCCACTGGTTACACTAGATGGAGAATTGCTCACAGACACATCGCCTAAATACGGGTCTATTGTGAACCTTTTAGAAATCCTCTGGTATTCTCTGCACATGTCCATTCCAACGTCGTTGTCCGTCCGAACAACATACAGAGACAAGAACTCATTATCCTCATTATGACTAATGTGGACGTCGAAAACCGGTATTTGTGGCGTGGTGATGGGCAAAGAATGACCATTTGCCAAAGGCGAAATTGTTGAAGGAGTCGCATTGTTACTTGACCTGAACGACTCATTCTTTCCTCTCTTGTTCTTAATAGAGTTCAACTTCGCCATATCAGGAGTACTGTCGCTGTCTTCAGCATTCTTACCATCTGAATTCTCGGTAGGAGTCGACGAATTGCCATTGGACAATTTCGAAATCAACTTCGAAGCGACGGAAGGCATAGGCTCGGGACTCTCCAAGTTGAGTGAACCGACACTATCTGTGCTTTCTTGGTCGGTTGTCTTTCCAATGTAATCTTTTCCTTTAGGTTGGGAGAAGGCGCCTTGATCAGAATACTTGTACCCTTCACTTCTAGTATCACTTATTTTACCGGGATTAAGGTCTTCCTTCCTGTCTTTAACAAGCACTGGGTCACTGTTGCTCGGAGTCTTAATCTTAATTGCATTCTCTTCAGGCGTTGGCGAAAGTTCTAGATGGAAACCTTGGGAGTCATCCAACTCTGAATTCTCTTCGGCTATTGTTTCTGGAACTTTCGGGGGTTGTATTTCGGTGACAAACTCGACACTAGGACGTGATGAACTATCGGAGAGTGATACTGTTTCCTTTGGTTCATCTTTAGCTTTGAGTGGAGTTTTAAGAGAAGAGGTAACGTCGACACTGGCTGGGCGAGATTTGGGGGTCTTTGGTGTTTTTGGTTTGGATATTTCTGCGCTGTTGCTTCGCTTGAGTCTTCTTGGGCTGGACCGGGCGGGAGTACGGACTCGGGAGGTGGATGGAAGCTCGACTGCTTCCAATTTCCGTTTAGTTGCACTCGTGATCTCGGAGACCTCATCATCCAAGTTCTGTGTGGAGACGGCAAACTCATCGTCGGTAAGTTCTAGCTTTTGGATCTTTGCGCTGCTATCGGACGGTTCGTCTGATATCCTTCTTTTGAGTTGAGCTGCCGGTTCTTCTGAAAGATTAACATGTGTTTTGTTTTACTTAATGAATTTCGAAAGAAAAGAGAGACAAACAATGCTCGATCGATCGATCGTTAAGTCTCCGATTTCACGTGACTTTTCCAACTTTTTAAAGGTGTTTTAAACTTTAGTAAAAATAATTTAAACGAGTTTTTATTGTCTAATAAATAAGGATGATTTTACTATGATCTTTAGAAGTATAAAATATGTATGGGTAGATGCTAGTGCGAATCCTTACCTTTAGTCCCGTCTGATGATACCAGATTGACTTCATCGGTTCCGCTGCTGACAGTCTGAAAATTTTCAAACACACCTACATAAAACAAAACATTTTGTGTTTAAAACATAAGACAAAATTTAATAAAGAATTTAATATTTTGGTAATTAAATAAATAAAAGTACTAATGAACATTTTATATTCAAAGAATTATTTTGCAAAGTGCAACCTGCTTAGAACATGACAATTTATAAAAAAACTTTTTTTTTCTCTTATTTTATAAATAAGTAGGTAGGTAACTACTTTATTTTCTTTTTATTAGCAAACAACTATATTTTGTACTACATTTACTTTCAGTATTTAAATTCATAGTAAGCTAAGGTCAACCTAGCAAAGGGCATTATCTCAATTCGAGCCAACATTCAAGTTTTTTTTTTTTATTTAATCCTGTTAGGCAATATTATAAATGAGAAATGTTGTTCTGGATCTACTCTTTCACACCATATACTACCTACTGAACAAAACTGTAAATCGAAATTTTTGGACACATGGAATATAATCAGCAGTACATCATAATATCATCATTTATCGCAGGAATGCAAGCGAAATCGATTGTGAAAGCTAGTTAAAATTAAAAATCAAAACAAACCACAACATCATCATCTGGTTCGTAGACTGGACTGTCAGGGAACAGGTTTTGGGAGTCATTCTTATTGGTTGTACTTTCCACATTGTCCTCCGTAGCATCCACTATCGGAACTTGAATGGCTGTAGCTGTAGCTGTGGCTGTAAAATAAAAATAAAACATAACTCATTTACTTTTCTTATAAATGAAACCCAGACATGTATATTAAGTTTCTTAAATTTAATTTTATGTTAATGATAATTAAAATATACCTGGTAACTACTTATTATTTACTTATTTTACACTTTATTGCACACCATACAAACATACTAGGTACTAGTTTGACCCAACTTAAAAGTTATTATGAGTATGATTGTTGGTGTATCTAAATGTGATTTCTAAGACAACTTTTAGAAGGATGATCAGCATTCAGGAAACACGGCATACATTGTAAACATATATAATAGTGATACCTTGTACATAAATACTGGTTAGTTAATATTTCATATTCCAAAATAGCATGTGTCATAAATATTTTGCATTTTCATTATAAAAAAAAATTGCCCAAATATCTATAGCAAAATTTTACTTATAACAAAGTTTAAGTTTTGCGAGGTTTAACCACCTGTGTTCTTGATAAACAAATTACATTTAATATTTAATTTATCTGAAACTAAGGCTATTCAGACATTATCTAACATATATATAGCGCAACAACCAAATCTTTTTTAAAGAAAAGAAAAAGAAAATTAATAAAAAAAACAAGGGTTTCATTTGTAATAAAAAAAATTAAATTACCAATCCTTCTATTTTCAAATAATCTAACATTTTCAATTAATTCAAAAATAGAATTAAATTTGTGAAAATAAACTAAGTCTTTCTTGCCTGCCATTGGCCATACTAACCGAAATATACATTAAAAATGGCCGTTACAAAAAGTGCAAGTGGTTTTAACATTTTGCTATTAAATCTTAGCTAGTATTGAAGAGGCCCATTATTTCACTAGTATTGACAGCTCTACACAAAACTAGTTCTAATGTGAACATGTTGCAACTTGTCTGAAAGAACTCAGTAGAGCAACCGCTCGGTTGTTTGGTACAGTGATCCAATTTTCAAGGTCTTATAAATTACTTTTTTTAGGCAGCGAACAGCACATAAAATATTTTTTAAATACAGCTTATTTTTTTGTGATATTGGAACTATTTGAAACATGAGAAAGTAAGTAACTTTTCCAAATATATTTTTCTAATAAGGTCCTTATTAGAAAAATAAATTTGGAAAAGTAAATTAAAATACCAATTAGAGTATATAAAAATATCTTGTTAATATAATAAAAAAAAAACCATACCTATCGCTTCAGATACATGTTTAAAAAAATCTAATTAGAAAATTATTTAGAATTTAGATATGTGTATGACAAGTGGTTCAGCATTTATTTTTTTCTGTACAACTGTCATTTTGGTCTTCCAATATAATTAAATAGAAACATTTTTCTAGATTGGAAACTATACCTATGGTTACTGATACTGGCACAATGAGTCCAACTTTCATTATAACCTAAAAATGAAGCTTCTTGATTCCAAATACAAATGAAATGACAACTATAAATACCATCTTAAATCATTCAAAACAAACGAACGTCCAATATTATTTTTGAGTAAAAATAACAAAAGCGACGGTAAACGGAAACGTATTTGTAACTCAAAAATAGATACAAAACCTTATTGATGTTTGTGTTATAAACCGACCGAAAGAAATAGGTCAATTCTGTGCAACACGATGACCTAGTGAAATCTTAAAGCGCTTCTTATTTCCTGCCTCTCGTTGAATACAAAGCTTAAGATCATACTAGAAATAATCAAAAGTATAATAATATTTATCTATGACTAGAGCAAGATTAAATAAATATAGATATTCAAATATAATTGAAAGTTACATGACGACGTCTTAATTTTAGTCGGTTAATATGATTGAATGTCAAACTTGAGTGAGAAAATAAATGGCAATTGCTGTATGAATGCCACAATTACCTGGGACTGGCGGGTTGCACTCCATTTCAATGGTATTATCCTTGATTTCTTCCATGTTTTACTCAATCAAAAACAAGTATTAATCCAAAAGTGGCGCGAGTTAACACAGTAACATCTGTCACTTAGATTACGTTGAATCTCCTAGCATTTCTAAGTAGATAAATAAATAATATAAGAATACTATTGAGTAGCCGGAACTAACACACTTTGAGAATACTATACAACATAGGAAACTACGCAGAAAATTATATTTTTGTTAATTTTGCGAAGAAACCGACACAAGCTGCAAACCGCTCGCTTGTTGATCCGGCCTGTGTTGCCAACGCTATAACTCCTAACTGTTACCAAAATTAAATACTTAGGTATGAGTAAGCGTTTTTAAATTTTTATTAAAATAGGAAGAAAATGCCAAATAAGTAAAAAGTTTATCAACATCAAAAAATTACATATTAATTTAAATAAAAAAATATAATGTAAAATAAGGAATTGTAAAGATAACGTCAAAAGCTACGGTGGCAACACAGCAATTGATTCTGAAAATGTATAAAAGAAGCGCTAAATGCGAATTACTTCGTTTTAGCTTTTAGTTAGTCTTTCATTCTAATACGTATATTGAATTTCACCGTCGACAATGGCAGCAAATAGCAGAGCCGCTCGCCTTCTAAAAGCTATGGACAACTTAGTTACGAAGACATGTTTTGATCACGGCACAGTCCTCAAGAAAGTGAGTATCTATTAGTACCTCCTACTAATACACACGAACTACTTTCTTTTTGAATATGGAAATAAACGATTAAATGTATTTTGTGTATTAGACAGAATAAGAATAAACCTTGGACGTTTAGGTAGTTCGTGACTATAGATATTATTTTATGTCATGCTTATCACTGTTTGTCACTGGATCACTAAGATTTTTTTTTTTTTGCTTCGGAGCTGAACTCACGGGTCGTAAATATGTACCACGAGTAATAAAATTGTTCGGGTGTTCCTGTGCCAGCGGTAGTGGGTGCAAGTGCCATGATGTTCCACCCGGCTCGGGGCAGGTGTAAGAACGTTTTTAGAAGAAAAATTTTTAGTCAGTACTAGCGTCCCACCTAGGCGTCGAACGGATGCAATGCTTATACTAAATATCTCCACTATTTAATTGATGTTATTATACATATTTTATAAACCTTCTTCTGTAATCACTCCATCTGTTAACCGCATTTAAATCCGTTGCTTAGTTTCAAAGATTTAGGCATACATAGGGATATAGGGGCAGAGAAAGCGACTTTGTTTTTATACTATGTAGTGATGAAGAATCTGACACTTCCTCCACCCCAACCGTGGCAGGAGAACACAGTGGACCATATTCCGCAAAAAGAGTACCTACCTATTTAGTGTTAAAAAATTGGTTTTTAGTGAAGTAGAGTCTGATAATCCCTTAATTTTGTTCGTCCAGGCAAGCTATAAGAGCAGCCAGAGTTGGGGATCAAGTACAATAAGGTACCATGGCCTCAGCCTTTAGCAGATTAAGGAACAGGGTAGTTTTTAATTTGTCTAATCAAAACAAGAAGTACAAGAACATAATGTATTCTCCTTGTATAAGTACAATTTGTCGTTACCACTAAACGAAAGTATACGCCTAACATTAGATTGGAATCTGATGGGCTTAACTCGATGATATCAGCGAAGCAAACCATTTTGATGATATTGATATCAATCTAAACATTAAGCTATTTGAAGTAAACAACAGAACCATTCAATTTTTGTCATGTCATTGTCAAATTTTTCGTAAGAACTATTGCGGTCTTTGGATAGACATCTAGGTAGCTAGATGTTTAACATGCGTGTCGTGTCCAAATCCAAATCCAAACTACCTATTATTATAAATGCGAAAGTAACTCTGTCTGTCTGTCTTTTCTTCACGCGTAAACTACTCTCGTACTGAACCTATTTGTGTGAAATTTGGTGCAGACATAGTTTGGAACTCGAGAAAGGACATAGGATAGTTTTTAAACCAAAAATCTGTAGGAAGAAACTATTCCGTGCAAAAAAAATCGTGGGCAAAAACTTCATAAAATGGCTTTAGATCAGTGTTTGGTCAGCACCTGCGTCAAGCGGAAAGTGGACGTCATTGTGTCTCTCTAGTCACTCCTCGTATGTTTTTATGTAGACTGGCACTTTTAAACTTAGGTATACTAATCAGAAATTTATAAGTCAAGATTTCTTGACGACGTTTTCCTTTACCATTTGACAGTGATGTGTAAATAATCTTAGAAAGCACAGTACGTGCATTGAAAGTAAGCTGCAGATCGTTAAGATATACATATATTTATTATTACGGTGATAGCTGGATTTAACGGGTTTTAAATAAACCTTTTATTTACCTTTGACCTAATAACGAAGACTATGAAACGTCACGTCAAGACGGCTTATGCAAAATAAAAAGTGAAAAATTCAAATCTGACTGACTATTAATTTTATAAAACGATTGAAAAAAAATGCGTAAAGTAAGAAAATAAAAAAGATCGGTAATTAATTTGTCTAGACTACTTCATAGTAAAAGATTAAGTAAATTACTAATTAGTTTTTAACGGCATAACAGATGGTGTTCCTAATTATTAAAATGCTAATTTTATTAAATACCTAGTACTACGACGAAAAGCCATCTTCAAGGTGAAAAAGTTTAAACATTGTTTTCTAAATTTAAATAATAATCTTATTTAAAGTTATTGGTAATATTGTTGTTTACAATTGATTTGAGATTTCGATATGATTAAATAAAATTAATCCGTAGTAGGTACTCAATACTAATTACTTTTCAATTGTGGTAATTTGAGACACAACAGAAAAACAATAGGTGCGCGAACGTCAGCCTTTGCTTGGAGTTTGATGAATTAATGAATAAATGTAATCCTATTTGTACATGGAGCTTTATGTAACTTGCTCCAGATCTATTCAATTCACTAAGCGGTTTTATGATCTTATGTCTACATGTATTTAAATATGAAAGGTTGATTTGAGGTGAAAGTCATCCCATGGCTAAAACCACCCGTACCGTACCAGGCAATAAGGAGTGTCAGACTCATACTGACAACAATCATCTGGTTCTTGCCTGCGCCGGGGCATTGTTGGGCTTGCACACACGACCGTTTTTTTATGACGGCGGAAATTTGGAGCTAGACTTGGTTACTACCGTTGGTTTTATATCTTTAATTAACGGTAACCTTTTCGATGAAAATACAGCGAACACAAAGTCACCTGACAAGTTAGGGATGTACGACATGGGGTTTGTGTGAACCCTTATAAGGAGACTGTCTGTGTGCCGATATTATTATACCATTTAGTCCAAAACCCAAAGTCAAAGTAAACATTATTTATTCCAACTAAACCATAAATAGGTAGGTACTTTTGAAACGTCAAAATAGAGTTGTAATCTGTCAGTCAGTTCGTCATTGAAGCTAGGTGCTCGTTCCAAATTGTAGATTCGAATTGAAAAGAACGACCAAAAACAACAGCGTTATACTTAAAAAAAAAATTGTTTGGTTACACTAATACCTTATTTAGTATACATTACCAATTATCCCCATTTTCATTTCTAGGTAAAGTTGCACACAGTATCCAATGGAGCGTTTCAAGGCAGTTTCACTGTGGATAAATCTATTTGTAACATGGGAGGTTCCTTGCATGGAGGCTATATTGCAGCTGTGTCCGACGTTTTATCATTTTACACACAGCTCAGCAATAATGATGCTAAACTTTCTTTTACTATTGGAATGAATATAAGGTAAATGACCATTATTTTTAGCAAAACCTTGTTATATAATTTTGTATCAGACCTTTATTTTGAATCGAATTAACATTTGTGCAGCCCTGGATTGTCTAGTGCCTAGTAACAGGAAAAAAAACTTATGTTTATTATACTTCGCATTAGAGAATGTACCTATTTTATTACTGTTTCAGCTACATTGGGACAGCACTCGAAGGCGAAACAGTTAACGTGGCAACCAAATCATTGAAGAAAGGAAATTCTTCAGTGGTCGAAACATACTTCCACAACGAAAATGGGAAAATTTTAGCTAAATCGATCACTTCATTTTTAGCTGGACCAGAACCGCTCCAATCATTGCCAAAAAACTTTATAGGTTTTGATGTGCATGAAAATTGATTCGTTAATAAATAACATTCTATATTGTTATCAGACAAAAAACTACCATTTTTAATTATTTTTTGCGATAGCAACTCTCATATTTGTATACCGTTCTATATTAATTAGGGTAAGGTAAATAAAAAAATATTCGGCATTTTAGTCTTTAATGTTACCTATACAATAAATAAAGGTGATTGAAACTTTCAATTCTTATTAATTATTCTATTGACTACGTAGCCGGGGTTATACTAATATTATTATTATTTACCTACTTATGAGGGTATCAAAGGGAAGGTGGATCTGTATAGGCATGTAAACAATAAGTTCTAAAGGCTTTGTATAGGACAGCTCTAAAAAAATTCGAAGTCTCTCTGACTAGTTTATAGAAATCTGTGAAGTCACCTGACTTACTAGGTACTCATCAAACGATATAAAATAGATATTTACGGTATGAGTAGATAGCACCTAGGTAATTAACACACAGCAATGCACTTAATCGTCTATAAAATGCGATATGCAGATGTTTTAATGTCCAATTCAACTTACAGACATTTAAATAATGGCGGGAAAAAATTAAGGCCACAGATAACACGAAACAAAAATTGTATCCGCCAACTTAAACCAGAAACAGATTAATTGAGATTAGGTAGGTTATTTTTCCTACCTACAGGTTATTTTTTAATAAATCCTAAGTACAAACAAATACCTTAAAAACTCAAGATTGTTAGAATTTCAAGGTTACCTACATGATTTACACAATTATTTATAATTTGTTGACAATGTTTGGCAGTGGCATTTTCGTTTTTGGCGGCAAAATATTTGTTGACAGAGAAAGGAGGCGGGATGCCATAACCGCTTTACCGTTGGAAATGTCTTGGAAAATATTTTCGTAAGTAACGCTTTCAAATCAAAGTCATGACATTTTTGTAAGTATTTTGTTTTGTTTTAATTACCATATGCATATTTTAATGCAAACTTTTTGTTTCTTTGTCACTTACTACCTACCTTATTTTGAAAATGTGAAAAGTTAAGTACCTACATACAACACCTACTTGGAATCGAATAATTTTAATCGGATTTATGTAGGTATATGAATAGTCTCTTGAGTGAATTGTTCCCTACGTAAGTATAAATTATTAAATTGATCCAGAAAACATGTTTGTTTAATTATTTCGTACTTATGTAGTAGATAGGTACGTACATAACATCTCGCTTTTCATTCCTCAAAGGGAAGGAAAAATTGAATACTTATTTATTTTTTGTTATGAGTAATGGTCTTATTTAGAGAGTAGAGGACTTGCCAATAGGGTACCTAGTTTCAAACAAGTCAAATCTATGTTTTTTTTGTGAAAAAGCACGCTTAAGTAGGTACCTATCTAATAATAAGTAATTTTGTTTTACGTGAAACAGCATACTTATTTCATTTGAGTTTGAGTTACTTAGGTACTTAAAAAATATGAATGAACGTACCTACGACTATTTTTAGGTCTATACGTATTGTTAAGGTTTCACGAGATGAAATAATTTCTTGAGAAAACTTAACCAATGAGCGTTTTCAATACTTTTTCTACCGCCTCTTTACGCGTCTGGTTCGAACAATTACTTACAGACCACATTTACATTTCGCGATTGCTTTTTCTATTCTTAAAAACGTAACAAATTAATTAGGTAGGTATACTTAGGTTTCCAAAATGTGTTTTTCACAAATGTCATTGTTATAGGAGTAGGTAGGTAACGCTAGCGCGTAGAACCCGTCATATCGTACTGTAAAGGTATATAAAGCAAAGAAATGAAGGTATAATCTGTAACATTAAATAATTCACAAGTGTGGGAGAGTAATGCTCCGGCACGACTGGGCAGGCTCGTCCGAAGGGATACCACGGCCTTATAGAAAACCGGCGTGAAGCAACACCTACCTACACCCGGTTTCTGAAAGGCTTGTCAACGCTAAAATTAACTAATCTCCTGTTAAATCTCTTGTCAAGTCATCTGATTGGTTGTTGATAATTCATTCAACCAATCAGATGACGTGACACGAGATTAAATTGTTTTTTTTTTGACATTGATCGGCCTTTCGGAAACCGGGCGTTAGGTACATTGTGTTTCGCCGCGTGTGTAAAATAATTACTGCGGGAGGCCCAACTCCCATTCTCTTTTCTCAAATCTGTATGTATCCCTTTCCGTAAATCGCTAACAACCCACAAGTGGCCGGCCACGCAGTAGACTCCTTTGGTTAGTAGGTACCTATTACGAGTGTCCAAGGGCGGCACCGATTGCTTATCATCAGGTAATCATTCTGCTCGTTGGCTGACCTATGACACAAATCTTATATACAAAAATGGATCGCAAAATGTGTTGGTAAGCGCATAACTCAACAACGCCTGGACCAATTTTGCTAATTATTTTTTGTTGTGTTTGTTATTGTGAGGAGAAGGTTCTTATCAAAGAAAATATTAGAAAAGTAGAGAGGGGGGGAGGGACCCTTTGATAGCGAGACAGTTGGACCCGTGCGAAGCGAGGGCAACTCTAAAATAAGGATGTTTAGTTAAATTACAAAAAAAATAACAAAGACTAAGTTAACGTAATCAAGATATTTACAATTGTTATCTTAATTAGAATAAAATATTTACAAATTAAAATACATACAAACTTGCATAACTAATTAATTTTACTATTAATCATATGATTAACTATTAAGCCTTTATAATTATTATCGAAATGACCTCACGTCTGAATATTGTTAACGTCAACTCATAACTCGCTAAGCACCGGCCGCGCGTCACACAGAACTGAAACAGTCTTTATTTCATATTTCATATTTATTTGCATTCCACAATGTATAAGAGGTGTTACAGAATGGCTTAGAGCTAAGTACAATCGTGGACCCTGTAGGGCACAGCAAAATAAAACTTACATCTAAAATTAAAACAATTAAAATATATATTAAAACAATTAAAATTAAAGTATAAGTATATATATATGAAAATTCAATAAATGTATCATGGTAATGTGCTTTAATTATACCGGTCTTGTGGAGACCGGTAAAATTAAAGCCTATTAATACTTATTCGTCATCATCATCATCATCATCAGCCTATAAGTGCCCACTGCTGAGCAAAGGCCTCTTCTCACACGGATAAAGTTTAGATCATTAATCACCACGCTTTCTCAAGGTGGATTCGCGATTTTAAACTAGAAATTAAAAGTCCAGGTTTCCTCACGATCTCGCACAAGCATGCTTGAGAAGCAGGCGTCCTAACCTCCCGGCCACCACGACACGCTTATTGTACTTATTACGAAATTATTAAAATTAATTATTCACTACACAAATCTATCACATTCAACCTGCTTTGGCACGACACGAATGAGCCGGCTCGACCGGAATGATACCACCGGTCACCTAACACAAGTCTGCTGTGAAATAACGCTTTTGATGTAGTTCGATGTGTATGTGTGTGTCGGAGGTCCAATCCTTACCCCTCCTCATCCCCAATCCCCAAATCTAAACCTATGTTATTTCTTATTAAGCTTAAAACAGTCGGCAACGTATTTGTTACTCCTTTGATTGTTGCTTGAACAAATGCGTTGACCAAAGAGTACAAAAACAAATTAAAAAGATATCCTGAAAAACTCAAACATATTTTTAAATGCACTTTTAATCATCAAATGTTTAATTTTCGACCGTTGCAACACTGTCTTAGTCTGATATTCGAATCGATTCAAAATTTGAATAACGAACAGAACTTTATTTTGTTTTAACAGTTATTTGGACAACACATCACTACAGACGGCGGCCCGTACAAGCAAAACATGGTCACGAATTATTTTATCGAACAAGAAATTGAGAAATCGTCTCAATCACTTCGAACTGGCAATTAAACTGGGCTCTGAAAGCCTAGCAAACTTCTATAGGAAAAATAAAAGAAAAATACCAAAGGATAAAGGAAGGAATTATTTGCCTGTCTGCAAAACTATGGGTATGTATATTAAATAGTTTTTTTTTTGCTATTTGTCAACAGTTAGGGGAGAACCAGGCTGCGACACGAATGGGAATAAATCGGCCCGACCCAGACCGGCTTCACAGAAAACTGCGTGAAACATCCACAACGTTGTTTCGCCGTCTGAGTGAGGTTACCGGAGGCCCAATCCTTCTCCCCCTCCCTCAATCCTTCCCCAAACGAATCCTCTCATATCCGTAATCCTAATTCCCTAAAGGCTGGCAACGCACTCGTAACTCCTCTAGTGTTGCGGATGTCTATGGACGGTGCCGATTGCTTACCATCAGGTAATCCGTAAGCTCGTTGGCAGCCCTATCACATAAAGCGCTTTGGCTGGGCAACTGGCTGCCACGCCACGTGTTGAAAGAAAGAAAAAACGTTTATTTGAAACATTGATGTTGTGTTGCGGCTTTGATTGCCGCCAATTTTGAAATCGCAATCCTTCTCCAGTGCAGTGGGCACTTATAGGTAGGCTGGTAGCCTCACTTACACAGCGAAACACAATGCTGTCATTATTTCACGCCGGTTTTCAGTGAGGCCGTAGTATCAATTCGAGTCGACTCGTGCCGATGCATGGTTCTCCCACACTTAAAGATATCTGAGATACTATTTTCTTTTTTCTTACAGTGACGTCAATTCAGACAACGATTCTGAAATCGAAGCGTCGAGGCGACGATTTGACTGTATACACGAAACGTTTTAAATTATGCTGACGTCATTCTCGTCAAGGATTATGTTTGAAGTTATTACAATACTTACCTACTTAAAATATTGACAATAAATCCGTGTTTGTTGTCCAGTGAAATAAAATGGATTTACTTATTAGAAACCGTTTGGTTTTTCGCTTCTAATATACAAAATTTTTGCTACTAACCCTGTGAGCTTTCTTTCATTTCATATTAAAAAAGAAAGCTAACTTCCACAAGGTGAAAAAAAAACCCTACGCTACTTACCACTACGTCTCTTTCTTCCACGCTTAAATTCAACCATCAACTCAAGGGCGGATCCAACGTAGTGGGC